GGGATCACTCATCTTGGGGATTGGTAGACTGATTGACCATATGGAGTGACAGGGATTGAACCTGGGTCAGTCACATGCAAGGCAAATGCCCTCCCCACTCTACTACACGGCAGAGCCTGGCAAGCCACCCGTGATGTATTCGATATGCCAAACACAGTAACAACAAAATCTCCAATGGAGACATTACTGGGCCCGCTCGAGCAAATCGATGAACAACGGGAGGGCCTTTACCTTTTACCGTAGAAAAATTTTCATTAGGTTTTTCTAGCAGAGGTAGAGAGGGCTCTGCTATCCAAGACTCTTGTACTTTTCATTCTCCGATATTTCTATTTAATACTTTTATAGTTTCATTTTTTAGTTTTTGACTCACTTGGAGTTGCTTTCATGAAAGGATTGAGATAAATATAGACCTACTATATTCATGTGACCACCGAAACAAATTACTGTAAACTTGGTGGTTTTAAAATAGAAATAGATCCTCTCACATTTCTCTCTTGCAGAATTTTGAAATCAAGATGTTAGTTGGGTCTGACCTCCTGATGGAAACTTGAGGGAAAAATTATTTCATATTCTAGCTTCTGGAGATTGCTGTCAGTCTTTGCATTGCTTTCTTTCTTTTCCGTTTTATATTGGGGCCACACATGGTGGTTTTCAGGGCTTACTCCTGGCTCTGGGCTCAGGGATCACACATGGTGGGTCTCGGGGGACCGTCTGAGGTGCCGAGGATGAAAACTGGGCTGGTGCATGGAAGGCAACCCGCTGCATTATCACTCCAGTTCTTAGTCTTTTCATTTCTTTCTGCTCTGCTCATGTATGTATTTTCGTTCTTATAAGGATACCTATGATGTCATTTAGGGCTGCCCCAAGATAATTCAAGATGATATTTTGAGACTCATAACTGCAAAAGCTTTTTTCAAAACAAGACAACATTCACAGATTACAGGGATTTACATCAGATATTGGATGGGGATGGGAGGGACCATTTTTCAGTCTTCTATAGTTGAGTTCCAATTAAATTTTTCCCAATGGTTTAACCAGTTGCTCTAGTATTATTTATTTGGTAATTGAATTTTTCTTATTGAATTAAAGTAAAACCTTTACTAAACACATTGGATTTGCATATAAATTTTAGTAGATTTTGGACCTCTCAGGTCAGTTTGAACTATTCCACTTTCAATACCAACTCATATTCATTTATTGTGGGCTGTCCACACTCATTTTCTCCTTAACAGAAATTAGGTATCTAATCTTGCAGCTGTCCATGGCTTTAAACTATCTAGTAACCTCCCCAACCACCTACATGGTTCTACATATTTCTGTTTTATTAGAATTGAGTGCAAGTATATATTAATTTAGATATAATTATATTAATTCATTTTAAAAGAATCGAGTATGTCTTTTTTTTATTTTTTAATTTTTTATTAGTGAAACACCATGAGGTACAGTTGTAGACTTACAAATTTTTGTGCTTGGGTTTCGATTATACAATGATCAAATACCCATCCCTCCACCAGTGCCCATTCCCTCCCACACCCATCCCCACCCTGCCTCTGTGGCAGGGCATTCCCCTTTGTTCTCTCTCTCCTTTTGGGTGTTGTGGTCTGCAAAAGAGGCATTGAGTGGCAAACATGTTCAGTCCATAGTCTACTTTCGACATGCATCTCCCCTCCTGGGAGGATCCTCCAAACATCCTTTATTTGGTGCTCCCTTCTCTATCTGAACTGCCCTTTCCTCTAGGATACCCGGCTGGCCTCTAAGTTATGGAGTAATCCTCCTGGTGCTGATCTCAGCTATTCTTGGGTATTAATCTCATACTTTGTTACTTTATATCCCCCAGATGAATGCAATCTTTCTATGTCTATCCCTCTCTTTCTGACTCATTTCGCTTAGCATGATACTTTCCATATTGTACCACTTGTATGTAAATTTCATGACTTCATCTTTTCGAAGAGCTACATAGTATTCCATTGTGTAGATGTACCAAAGTTTCTTTAACCAGTCATCTGTTCTCGGGCACTCAGGTTTTTTCCAGATTCTGGCTATTGTAAAGAGTGCTGCAATGAACAAACAAGTGCAGATGTCACTTCAATTATACATTTTTGCCTCTCTGGGATATATTCCCAGGAGTGGTATTGCTGGGTCAAATGGGAGCTCAATTTCTAATTTTTGGAGAATCGTCCAGAGTATTTCTTTCATTATGTTTCTTTATCCCTCAACAGTCAAATGATGACATTTAAAAATGTCTTCAGTAGATTTTTCATATCTCCTTTTATGTTCATTTCTTAATGTTTTTTCTTTTTGAGCTATTATAAATAGGTCTTTTCTTCTGTTGATGTATTACTCATTTTTATATGGAAATTGTATGTGCAAGATATATAAGTATCAGTATATTTGTGTCATATTTAGCTATTCACTATATTAATTTTCCTATTGTTTTAAATAATTTTAGTCACTTTGAATATTTAGGTATAAAACTGACAGATGCAAATAATGTTTAAATTCTGTATTCCAGTTTATATCTATTCTCTCCTTTATTTTCATTTGTATTGCCAGACAATATCAAGTTATATCAATTATAGTTTGTATCCTTTTTTTCATTTTGATTTTTAACAAGAGTGACTATGTTAAGACTATTTAATTTTCCAATATCTAGTGGGCCTTTTGTCTAAGTCAAAAAAGTCAAACATCAGCAATTTCATAATGTTCAGTTTAGGGGTATTTTGTTATAGGGCATGAAAAGTTTTAAAAACATGTGTAAAAGATAAAAGGAAGAATCCATCTTTTCCCATTTTATTTGTTCATTAGACAAAGGTTTGCTGCTTTATGTTAGGTACTATTCAGAGGATGTGGGGTTAAGAAGTTTTTATGATGCTATGTTCCAGAAAACAAAGATAGTAAACTTATAAATGATAGATGGTAGCAAGTGCTAAGAGAATTGAAATAATAATAGTCAGGGGTGTGGTCCCACCAGCAGGTCAACCTGTACTCCCAGGGCTAGTGCATCAGCAGCCAGATGGTGTCTTCATTGCTTTCTCATATCCCGCTCTGCCTCTGGCTAGACCTCTACAACTCGGTACCAAATTTCCTGAGACAAAATAAACAGCTAAAAGGTACGTGGGAGCCACACCCCCAAAGCACCTACAGTTTAGCTATATGAGCTCATTTATCGGCCTTGTTTTAGAGACCCATAAATAAATCTTGACAAAAGCCACTATAATCTTGGACCTGCACAAGACTGAATACACCATAGTAAATCAGAAGGGTGAGGGTCAGCTTGGTGCCTGCCTAAGCAGGGCCCCCAGCAGCCACTTGCTTCCACAATCCAAAATTGTCACCATGGCCCTAGCCAGGCTCCACCATCTTGGGACAGACTTCACTGAGACATGATCTGCTGAAAATTTGGGTATGCGAATTTTGTGACTGAAATTTCCAGGCTTTCTGAGGGTCAGGATGGACCACCTCCCCAACCCTCCCTGTTCTTCCAGAAGCCTCGGCAGTCATATCCACACCCCAAAGTTGCACACAGTTAAAAAATAACTACTCCAGCCTTTCTTCCCAGTAAAAGTACTGAACGCCCTGAACAAACATGATGAAATCTTAGTACCTGTATTGCAAACCATAATGCACAAATGAGAAAGAGGGACAGTGCCTGCCGTAGAGGCAGGCTGGGGGATAGGTAGTGTTGAGGGATGGTGGGAGGGAAACGGGGGACATTGGTGGTGGGAAATGTACACTAGATGGATGTTGGATCATTGTATGACTGAAACCCAATAATCCATCTCACAGATATTAAATAAAATATTTAAATAAGTAAATAATAGGATGGTCACTAGCAAGGAGGAAAAGGTGGTATTTTAGATTTGGTGACTAGGAAAGAATCTCTTTCAAAGTGATCTTTGACTTGTATGAAGTAAGAGAGTGAAGCCTTACAGCTATCCTTGGAGACTGGCTGTCTGTGCAAGGAAGACATCATATAGATTAGAGGCTCGCTCATCTGAAATAGGTACTGGCTCTTAATTTCTTTACTGTGTCACTTCGGAAGTGATCCTGTGATTTTTTTACTTGATCAAATGAATATGATGACTTATATTACTGGATTTCTTAATATTGAATCATCCTTAAATTTTTGGTTCTGTTTTTTGGGGTGTTTTGTTTTGTTTCTGGAGGGGAGGGATGCCCACACCCAATAGTGCTCAGGGCTTACACCTTATCTGGACTTGGGAAACCATACGTGGTACTGGAGATCGAACCCTAGTCAGCTTCATGCAAAGTAAGTACCTCACCCGTTGTACTATTTCTCTGGTTCAGTGCTTGCATTTTTACTATAAACCATAACCTCACTCAGTTATGAATTAGTCTCAGTCAGATGTTAGGCTGGCTTTGTAAAAATCATGTTTGCTTTCTCTATATAAGCTCACAGTTTGAGTATCATTAAATCTACCAACTTTGTAAAGATTTGGTGGCATTTACCCGTGAAACTATCAAAACATGGGTCCAGAGCGACAGTACGATAGTACAGTAGGTTGGGCATTTGCCTTGCACTATGTGGCTGACCCAGGTTCAGTCCCCGGCATCCCGTATGGTATCCCCCACTCCCCACCCCTAGCAGTGTCAGGAGTAATTTCTGAGAGCAGAGCCAGGAGTAACTTACTCCTGATCATTGCTGGATATGACCCAAAAAGCAAAAATCAAACAAGAAAACAACTGTCAAAACGTAAAGCTTTTGTGAAAGCAAGGGTGAGTACAAAATCCTTAATCTCTTTCTCTTTCCCCCATCTCCTCATGACAAATAGTCTGTATCTATTTTTCTGACTCTTTTAAGACTTCTTTGTAATTAATATATTTTTTAGCTCTTCAACAAAATATATTGGAACATTCTAGCTTCTATAGACAAAGGAAAATATGAAACAATCGCTTGATCGCTTAATCACTTGACATTCCATTATTCATCGATTTGCTCGAGCAGGTGCCAGTAACGTCTCCATTCGTCCCTATCGCATAAAAATATGGAACGCGTCATGAATTTGTATGTCATCCTTACGCAGGAGCCATGATAATCATCTTTGTATTGTTCCAATTTTAGTATATGTGCTGCCGAAGTAAGCACTGTAATTAATATTTTTTGAAAAATAGTATTCATCAAGATTTTCACTTTCCTTTAAATAGAATGAACTGAAGCAGAACTTATTTTTGTCACTGATTATTACCAAGTATTTTCCAGTATCATAGGTGATTTAGTTACATTTAAGATTGAATAATGTGTCAGTGTAACAGTAGCTCTCAGACTGTCATATCCTCACCTTACATGTGAGGATACAGAAGCCTAGAAAAGTACAATTACTAATGATTGCAGTTGAAGCTAGGCTATTCCTTTTGCTCCTTGAACTGATGAACTTTTCAGAAGACTGTGCACTTGATGAAATTGCACCTTTCTGCTGCTACACTTTACCCTCATCTCTTTCCTTCCACACATTTTGTCACCTACACTTACTGCATACTAAGTTCATGTCATGCTCTATCTGTAGCATGTACTTTGTTAGCCAGAATCGCAGTGCTGTTTCGCCTGTTTGCCGGCTAGAGTATACTGTTTACTGCCAAGAGGCAAAGTGTTTGAAAGGAAGCTAATATTTAAAGGGATCTTTTTATAAAGGTCACTGTAATTGAGAATGTGTGTCTGGTTGTTTTTCTTCACTGCAATTGACTTCTGTCAGTGATGAAATGAAGATTTACTATACCTTGCTTTATCCCGGGAAAGTCCAGTTAGCTTCACACAGATCTGCCTGCCTGCACATGACATAAACTTACCTTTATTCTCCAGTGATAATGACAGAGAGACTTTGGACACTTCTCATTTATTGAGTATTTAAGTTTTGTGGCCTGGCACCAGCAGTGTAATAGCCGTGAAAGTTTTAAACACAGCAGAATGGCAGAGGACTCTGGCTTAGCCACAACAGACAGATTCAGTTACAGTTTCTTGTTAAAAGATGTTGCTGGAGGGAGGGGAAGGGATTTGACGGGGGATGAGCAAGCTATAGATCCAGAACTCAATCAGTTTATACATCAGCCAGGGGTGGATATGTGTGGGATTCTGGACCCTGGCCAGCAGTCTGCCCGCCTCACTGCTCTGTCAGCCAGGGTTGTCCTTCTCACAGATAAGTTGCCTTTATTGCTGGTCCTGTCCATTTAAGCTTTGCTGTATATGTGTTGCCTGACATGGGATACATGGATATGTGTGTGTATTAAATTATCAGTCTCATCTCTAAAGGATCCATTTAAAAGTCACTGTGAGTTAGTAGTGAAGAGGCCACACTGTGTACGAGTGAAGTTCTATGTACCCTGTGTCAGAAAGGCAAATCCACAGAAGAAAGTATAATTTTTTCCCCCTACTGTCTTCTATGGGAGAGCCCGGCAAGCTACGAGAGTATTCGATATGCCAGACACAGTAACAACAAAAGTCTCCAATGGAGACATTACTGGACCCGCTCGAGCAAATCGACGATCAACGGGAGGGCCTTTACCTTTACCTTTTACTGTCTTCTATGTAATGACTGATAGTTGACTTTGTAAAGGCCAGTTTTCCTCAAGATGAGGTTTTGGTCAGCCTCAATCAGAGTTAAGGGTGGGAGTGGGAAGGTTAAAAAAAAAATGCAGATTTGGGGTTGGAATGATAGCACAGTGGGTAGTGTGTTTACCTTGCACATGGCCAACCTGGGTTCAATTCCCAACATTCTATATGGTCCCCCAAGCACCACCAGGAGTAATTCTTGAGTGCATGAGCCAGGAGTAACCCCTGTGCAATGCCAGGTGTGACCCAAAGAAAAAAGAAAGGAAGGGAGGGAGGGAGGGAGGGAGGAAGGAAGGGAGGAGAAAGAAAGAAAGAAAGAAAGAAAGAAAGAAAGAAAGAAAGAAAGAAAGAAAGAAAATGATGAAGATTTCCAGGAAGTCAGGTTGATGACTCAAAGGGCCAGAGCCAATGCTTTGCATGCCGGAGCCCCAGGTTTGATCTCTAGGACAGCATGGTCCTCCAGCAAAGCCAAGAAACTCTGAATGTGACCAGAATTAATAATTACAGAGGCAGATTTCTGGACTCCACCTCAAATCATGTCAGTGAACTTTGAGGTTGAGACTGAGAATCAATCTGTAGCCCTAAAAAAGACTCCCAGATGATCATTTTGCACAATGGAGTTTAATAGTAATACAAAAGTAATTATTCAGAATAAATTAGAATTAGGGGAAATAGCTCAAAGGGGTAGTGCCAGGATTCTATTTCTGACATAGCAAAGTATCCTGAATACTACTGACATACCCCTGAAACACCATGAGATGAGGCCCCAAAACTAAAAAATACCAAAATATGAACTACAAATTCTTTCTCTCCTGCAGAGGTAAAATATACAGAATAGGTTATTTCAATATTGAGATTTACTGAAGATATATATGTACATGCATATATTCTATTCTACCAAACACATTCTACATATACCTTTTGGAAAACATTTCTAATTACTAAGAGAGGAACATCTGTTAGCCAAAGCTAATGTATATAATTATTATAATAATACATTAATTATATCTATACCATGCCTGCTTGCTTAAAATCTTGATGTAGATACAGATATAAATTATTTACTCTTCACAATAGCCTACGAGGCATTATCGTCCCATTTTACAGATGAGGAAATTCACCCTTATAAGTTGGCTGATGCCACATAGACAGCAGGTGGTAGAATTGGGGTTTGAATCCCCAAGACATCCTGACTTCAAAGTCAGTTTTCTGCTTTTGATAGCTGTAGAGATCAACTTCTCATCTTAGAGCAACTGATAGAAATTGTTAGGGAAGCTGAGTAATAGTAAGGCTTAGAAAAAATGATATATATGAGACAGCATAGCAGAGCAGGACATTAGACCAAGAATCAGACAGCTTGGGGTTAGTTCTTACTCTGATCTCTTGCCATTCACTTTGCTTCACCCAAGCTATTTGCCCACCTATGAATTACCCACCTGATGACCAGGTAGTTAAAAGTGATTTTAGAAGGTTCTTTGCCCCCTCCTTCCCTCAACCCTTACCTTTATGTTTCTGGTTTCTGCAGGTTTCATATATGTCCCTTTCTTCATCCTCACTCAATCTTCGAACTCTCACACATAGTACTGTTCATTGGCCCTATTTTAATAAGTGTTGAGATGTGTTTGTCTTCCAAAATATTATGTGTTCATTTCCTGAAGAAAATAGAACATTCTTTATCTGGAAATGTCTTGTTGCTGCTCTTCTTTTTATGCATCCCTAATATTTTCTAAAAATTTACCTTTAATTAGCTTTCTACCGGAAAGAAGGCACCATTTCATACGAAGTCGTTTGGTCAAGTTCTTTATTTGATCTTAATAATTCTGCATTTGTGATGTCTGGGTCAGAGTTCATGTGGGCTATATTCATCTTAATAGGGTTAACAAGTGTGTCAGATTGTCAAGTCATGGCTATAATTGACTTTGGCTTTGAGGTTTTCCTTCATAATAAACAATGGGCCCTGAGCCAAAAAAGCTTGTGGTTTATCCTGGCATACTGATGACTGAATAATGCAAGAGATTTCCCCTCTTGCTTATTCTGTTTCCCCGGAGCTTGATTCGTGCTATTTGGATGAATCATATCCAAAGCATATCCTTAATTTAAAAGAATTTGACTTGTGGACTTTCCCTCCTAGTTGAAAACATCTTGAAGCTTTACTTTTAATGTTCCAGGGGAGGTGGAAAAGCCTGTCTAGAGCTCAGAAGAGACACTTCCAGTGACTTGCATAAACCAGGCAGCTCAAAATGCCCTTTGACTGGGGTTGGATTGCGGTGGGAAATCTGTATTATTACTCACTGTGGTACACAAAATTCTTCTGGAAGAGAACACTGATGATACACTGATTTTTGTTAGTTTCTGCCATTTTTTTCTGCAACACAGTTATTGGAAGATTTGTTTTGTGCAAATAGCCTTGAGAACTCAATTTACAGTAAGTTCAGCGGGTAAAAGTAATCAGCACAAAGTATCAGTTAATCAGTTTATCAATAGTTGCTTCCTGAAATATGAACATAATAGCAGTTTCAAACTAAAACCAAACAAGAAACGCTTCAGCCCTCCTCTGATTAATTTAATAGTAGAAATATCTATGCTGATATCAAATCTGCTCCCTTTTCTTGGTAATTCTAATAAACAAATTGACGTATACAGTCAAGTGGGAAATGTTTTCTATTCTCTGAATAAGTTAATTAAAGAGGAAACCATGATTCATATCAGCTTTCTCTAAGCTGAGTTTCTAGTGTTCTTGGGAAAACGGGTAAATGTGGATCATTTCAGTCAGATAGTCCGGATAAAGCTAATTCTAATGAGGTGGGCGCCTAGCTGGTTCTCTGACTGACTTACCTCTTCCCTCTGAACCTGTGCGTGTGGCACCCACTGTTATTCCCTCTACTGGATGGAGTGTTTCCTCTTCATAACCTTTTGATCCAAACAAGGAGGATATTTCAGTTGACTACTTATTTCTCTTAAGAGAGAGGGTTGTAGAATTCTGGAGGAACTGATTAAGTAAAAGACAGGAAATGGATGGCTAATAGAAAGGCTGTCTTGAAACAGTAGAATATAATTCTTGCACACTGGCTCCATATATGTTTCCTGGATTCCTGCCATGTTGTTGCCCTCTGTTTGGTTTGTTCTCCTCTTTCTTATGGAGACCTTAACAGAGTCTGTGTTAAGACCAGCATACAAATTCTGTTGCTTCAAGCAGCCAGAAACGGATCCATTTTACGGACGGGTGGAGATGGGCACTCTCAAGTGGTGCTGATGTCCCCATCAGTTATTCTCAGTCTGCCAGACCAGTGGTTTGATGCATGAGTTCTAAGATGAGCTGCTGGGGACACCTGGGCCACCCAGCCCTGCTTGCAGCCTCCCAGGATACACCCTATTTCGGAACCATGTGGAACCAAAACCTGGTCAGGTGCATGATCACTGTCCAGTCTCTCAGCCCCAGAAAGGAATCCATTTTTGTGACCAATGGCAATAGTGTCTTAGAGGGGTTTTGTTGTGTATTGGTTTCATATTGACTTTAAAGAAACCCAAGCACAAAAATTTGT